AGGAAGATGACAAAAAAATAGTGAACCTGGAACTTGTGTTTGGTTACCATTTGAAAGCTGGAAATGGCCCAGAGGTAGGAAAACCAACTCTATGTAAAATCGAAAAGAATTTACAAAGCCTAATAAACCTTACTCTAGTAATTCTAAGTATTATTATTATTTTTCCAATTCTTGCGTATACGCCGCTGTGCTAAAGAATCAGGAGTTACTGTGTAAGTGGTTTATGAAGGTAACAAATGTACTCAAAGCCTTTTTTTGATTTCCACTATAACAGCCACTCTGACTATGGTTATAATACAGTCATTTAAAGTTTTAATACATCTTAACTTGGATGAGAAGAAACCAAAATTGTCATTTAGTGTAATGTTTTAATTAACATTGTTCAAAATCTCCAAAAGCCCGATTACAACATCGTCTGGCATACTATACAGTATGTGAACAGCCAATATAAAAAGGTTTCAAAAGATAAAACCTCACGTTTACCAGTCATATCTAATTGACTCCTTGTATTGTTTCTCTTTACACACTGATAAACCTATAAGGCCTTTTTATACTACAAAATGCAGTTCTCTCTGAAATAACTTTTAGCTTGAAACAAAATGGCTAAAATCCCAGTAAAACATCGACATAGATCTGTGTTGGCAAGAACAAGAAGAATTGCGAAGAAGAATAGAGCAATGCAAAATGTCTGAGACGTGGTGAAAACACAAGTTTGTTGTGCACAATGGCTGATTGAGGAAACACGTAATATTAAATTTAAGTGTAAATATTAACGAGATAGGTTTGTTGATAGCACTGTTCCTAGGTCCTACATAGATGTCTCTACACAAGCAGTTCAGGCTGTGGGTTTCCCCCACCCCGATTATTGCAGTGCTTTCCTGGCTGGCCTCCAGGCCAGGCCAGGCCATCTCCCCCAGCCCAAACTCCTTCAGAGCCCTGCCGCTCGCCACAGTTCTGTCCCCTCCTCATTTCCCCAGTCCATGATCTTAACCACCCCATCCCCACCTCCGATCCTCCTCCTCCACCACCCTCCCTGTTTCCTCTGTCTGTTCCCCCGGTTCCTGGTGCATTCATTCTTGTCCCTGGCTCCGAAGTCAAGGAATGAACCACCCCTCAAAATCAGAGCTGCTCAATCCCTGACCACCTATTAGCATTTCGGCACCCTGTTCAGAACATTTGCATTCAGCTAACCAATAACCGACTGGCACTGCATTCAACTCAATGGCATTTCCAATCACCTTCTTTGCTGTAATCAATAAATCCTTATTATCCTTCAGGTGTTTACAGTACAGTGACACACTGTTTTCACTCTGCCCTGTGGTGCAGAAATATTGCACTTCTAACATGTGTCTGCTTTGCTGGTTTTTTTTTTGTCATTTTTAGTTTTCACCAATTTTGGACTGTATTTGAGTGATTCCTTTTTATTTTTCTTGCATTCTTACGTATTTGGAAAGACACGCTGGACAAGTGCATCTGCAAATTAAAGTAATGATAATTCATGACGTTTGAACCCCAAAATAATCGAGAAACAGCATAAATAGCCTTTCAAAAAGACATAATGTTAATGAAAGCAAGAATTACAAAAATATGACCATGATCAGATTGAAAAATTAAGATCAGCCGGTTGCCATTGGCATGATTTAAGGTGGCTTGCCTGTAAGAGAAGCTGCTCGGACTATCAGAGTAGCTCCATAGGAACCACGAATCTGGCTCTGTGAGGAACAGGCCACGTCCTAGAAAACTGCACATCACCACACCATCCCAGGATCATCTTGTCCAGCTGCAGTCGTTTTCACATTGCAATGCCTACAGCACAACAGATTCCAGCAGAAAGGCTCTACTTCACTATCTTCATGAAAATGAACTGCACAGTCAGAGGCTGTTCAGAGGACAACATTGACAGCTGAGAGACAAAACTGTCATCTTCTCTGGGCTTCTTCTTCTCTTCAATGAGAGAGAGTGGTAGAGTGGTTTGATTGCCACTGAAAGCTGCTTTGCTCTTGACTGACCACATGGAAGGCAGTTGTTATGGCGACTGTCGCGTCGTTCAAGCCCACAGTTTGGGCATTGGAATTGTAATGACGTGGGGAGGCACCTCCTTGTAGAGTGTTGAGACCAATCTTACAGCTAGGTGATACATTCATTAAATCCTTGAGCCAACAATCTTCCCGCTGTCAATCCAGAAAGTGTGGATTTTCCTGTAGGATAATGCAAGGCCACACAGGTGCTAAGATTACCATTACTATATGGTATGACTTCAAGTTCTGGAAAACAATGTTGTGGTTTTAACCTGGCCAGCAGTTTATCCTGAACTGAGTCCAATAGAACATCTGTGGAACAAACTTGCCAGTATTTTCAAAGGAAGACACAACTTGCCAACCTAAGCCAGCTGGCAACAGCTGCAAGGTATAATAGGCTGAACAGCCCACAGCAGTCTGTCTAGAGGCTGATCAGGTCTTTGTGTCACCACTCCCAGGGTGGGAGGCAGGCAGGATTCTGCTTATACTTTGGAAGATAATATCAAATACTAAATTTGCAATGTTCCTAGCATTTTGTTCACATTTTCTCAGATTTTGTTTGATATCTTGATATCTGTGTCTGAATTATTAGATTAAATCCATTAGTCCTGGGTTTTGGGTTTCTGTTATGCAGCAGTTTGTATATACAGTGAATGTTATAAACAGGATGAAGGTTTCATTTTCCATGGATTTTTTTCAAAGCTCTGCTTCAGTTTATACTAGAGAATTTGATTGAGCAAAAAAAAGTGTTATAGACAAGTGAATATCTCTTGCATCACGTAACTTTATTATTTATTATTTAATATTATTTATATTATTACAGAATATCTCTGTAACTTTATTTTTTTATCTTCGTATATCATTTCCATTCCTATACCCCCCACATCTCTTCATGTATTTTTTTAAATCCATTCTATTTTTTACTTGGTGGTACCTGCTCCTTAGCTACAGCTCATGTCTGAGGAAAAATAGGGTGTTTAAAGATTACTATTATAGTGATCAACTTCCATTTGCTTTCAGTTATATTTATGAACAGGCATTGTATTGTATTAACTAGTCAGTGGTAAATAAAATATACCTCTTCCCATCATTAAAGCATGTAAATACTTTCCAGACCAAAGAAATAGACAGTTTTAATAGACATCAGTGTCTATTATTTCATCAGCTTCAAGCTAATATTGACCACTTTTGTGACCGTGTATATATTTTTTGCAGCGAGACATTTATTGCCATTTAAAAAGATTCTTTCATCTAAAGCATCTAAAGCAATGCTTCATATTCATTCCCCCTCATTCTCGTTCTTTGTTGGGGTGTCTCGAAGGGGGGAAAAAAATGCTTCTCTCGGGCTGTTTGAATATAATCAAAAATTGCCCATTTAGCCAGAAGTCATTTTCTTTTTAAAAGGCAAATGTTATTTAATCTTTCAGCTGTTCATTGTCCCATCATAAATACTCTCTTTTCAGTGCATTTGCAGGGCTGAAATGAGCCCGCTAATTGCCTCCCATTTCGACTGACATGTGGTGGTTTAGTGGGTAGAAAACACAGCGGGTAGAAGGAAATAGGAGGTTGAGAAAATGAGAGCTAATTATTTTCCCTGCCTCATGTCAGGTTCTATGTCAGCCTTGTTTTTACAAACTGGAAGGTTTAGCACTAAATAAAACAAACTGGCGTCATGTTTTTATATACTGGCGGTGTCATGGAAGCAGCTGCACTTCTCAAAGACAAAATAATGCCTGCGATTGTATGGACACCATCTGACAGCCACTGTAGGTCTCTGCTAATGAGGATATCACAGTGGTGCCAAGTGAAAGGTTCTGAATTATGTATGAATCTTCATTAGAACAGCTATAGTCCTGTACATCATTACTAGACATTGTTTCTGCCGAAGTGATTAAAAAAGCCTCAGTTCTAGACCTCAGCACAACTTGGAAAGGCTGGTTAGGGTTATTAGTGCACTTCTGTGCCAACAGCTTCCTGTGGATTTCTTTTTAGTTACATGAAAACCCTTGGGACAATGCAGGAGTGGGCCATGACACTGCACCGACAGGGCCACGGTGTATTAACAGCACTTGTGTGATCTCTGTGCAGGGCTGTTTTCTTCCTCTGTGAGCCAAACACAATAGTATACCCTAAATGGTGAACCAAACATAGCTGGGCTGTGACCTGTAGCAGACAACAATTGGGAAAACTCCAAAAATTCCACTTTTTCATTTTGTTTTCTGCTTAAAGAGTGGTGATTATAATATGGATTGTTTTTTTATCTTGGCAGCAAGTGCCTATATATTGTTACGTAGTTCCAAACAAATGTGGGAATAATAAGAAAGGAATACAGAAAGGTTTTATACTAATGGGCTCCAATAAATTACCAGCGTATCTATGTCCTTTGATCATGTGTCATTTTAAATAAATGGCGGCTAGCAGATATTTTTTTATTGTGGAACATTTACATTATTTGCTTTAAAATGTTACAGGAAACGTACAGACATACAGTTTATTTATTGTCCTTTCTTAAGCTGCCTGAGCACACAAAAAATATAGAGATTTATCTTATTAAATGTAGCATAATGCATCGTATCGTATGGCTTTGTATGATTAAATTAATCACACTGATAGGTTTCTATTATGATGTGTAAATGAATGCTCTAGAAATATATACTATAATATCTACTAGCAACCTTTCCTTGTGAGGTTAAGTTCAAATAGTAACTCATAATACTGAGTAACATGCATATTTCACTTTGTAGAGATGTTGTTTATCTCATCCAAAACACAACACACCTGTTGTTTATATCTGTAGAACATTTCCTCTAACAAGAAAGACACTTATCTTTAGCTGCTGAAAGTCTTGGCCAGAGTCTGGGATATGGGCCACCAAGTTTAAACATCTTTATTTCAATGCTATGTTATTGATGAATCCATCCATCCATTTTCTAACCATTCTTCAAATTCAGTGTCGCAGGGGAACTGGAGCCTATCCTAGCAAGCAGTGGGCGCAAGGTGGGGGTACACCCTGGAGGGGATACCTGTCCATCACAGAGCACACACAGAGACACTTTCACAGCAGGGCTAGTCTTCCCAGCAGACAGTATGCCTTTGGACTGCTGGAAGAAATTGGGGCACCACAGCAAATCCGGGGAGAACATACAAACTCCACATAGATAGCAGCCCAGGTCCAGAAATCAAATCCAGGGCCCCAGCACTGTCTAAGTATCTACACTATCAGATCATTGATGCTTTTCTTTGGGTAAAGAACTCTGCTTCTTTATCCATTTACCTATTTTTACCCACTTTTTACAGTTCAGTGTCAGGGAGTCGGAGCCTATACCGGTAAGGAACAGGCACAAGGCAGGCTACACCCTGGATGGGATGCTAGTCCATCACCGGGCAGGCACATAAAACACACACTCACTCACACCAGGGCCAATTGTCCCAAGAACCAATTAATCTATCACTATGTGCAAATGAAGAAAGCACATGAACATATAAATTTCATGCAGATACAGTAGTACCCCAGAAACTGAACCCTGGGCCCCAGCTCCAGGAGGCAGAAATGCTAACTACTGTGCCACCGTGCCACCCTCTTCAATGAGAATATCCTTCAGAAATTTTCTGAATCTTCACGATGATTTCTTTTTCCAATACATGAATCGTGTGTATTATGAGTGAAGGTCTCAGTGACCAATTTTTTTCAATTAAATATGCAGCATCCTTTGGCAAGGAAACAACGCTTCAAACCAGTATGTGCATATTGTGATTCTTTCCAAAAAAGTGAAATAAGTTTGCCTGCACTCTCATTTCTGCAGTTTTTTATACTTGCAGAATCATGGAGAAGACATTAAACACATGCGGTTTGTTTTATGGAATCATCAATCTGAAGAAGCAAAGGAACTCTTTGTTTATTGTTTCATTGCTGATTTCATTATATGTCGTCTTTCCAATTAATCCCTAAGAGTGCATTGAGATACAGTAAATACCTATTATCTCCAACCCAGCAGGCAAATGACTCTTAAAAAACGTTGGATTCCAGCAAGCATACAAGTAGGTTCATGGAAAGCTGAAAGCATCTGGAAATTAATATTCATCTGCTATGTCTGTCTCATCCTATGGTGTTTTCTGTCTCCCCCACATCTGCCTGTATTGGGGTTGACTTTTTCTTTAAGACAAGCATCCTAAAACCACAAGGTTAAACCTACAGTCCCTGTGTGAGAATGTGTTTTCTGATAGGTCTGTTATAATCAGCAAGTACCGTTAGGTTGCTCTTCCAGCCTCTGGTCACATTCGCCGTTAGAGAAGTTGTCTGTCCTTTCAAACCAAGATTGACTGATTCCCTGGGCTGAGAGGTTGGTCTCCTTGAGCTTTCTGGCATCACACACAGGATTTTCTACACTGGTGACAGAATCGCAGCCCATCTTGATTTTGGCAAACTAGCTTACTGGTGTGTGCAGCCACAGTGTGCCAGTGAGAAGCTGTAAATGTGGAAGAGGTGAAAGATTCGGACTGGACTCGTCTTTCATTTCCTGCCAAGCCCAGCAAGCAGAGGGACAGGTCATGGAGGGGATGACAATGCATGACATCGAATGGGATCAGAGGAGCTGATTAGGCAAGAACTCTCGTCACTGTCTTCAATTCCTCCAGCATAATTAACAGCAAGCTTTCTTAAAAAGTTAAAGGGATGTCAAAGAACCAGACCCTTTGAGTGTTCTGCTAATTACGTTCCTTGCGGGTAGTCTGAATCTTTATGCCCCAAGTTGCTGGGCGTACAAAAAGGCAGCTACCAAATAAAGATCCTATGTCAAGTCAAGCACAAATGCTTAGGTCGGCGCATCAAAGAAAAACAGGAAGATACATCTTTAAAGGAAGATAAAGTTCACCTTTCAATTCTTTGAAAAGTGAAAAGCTTGCAATGTCAAACAGGCTCGTCCATTTGAAGTTAATCAGTTAATAATGTGGGCATTGTTTGTTATGGATTATTCCATATTGTAACATAGTTTCTGCTTCTTGCCATGCATTGCGGATCTACCCATGTGGGAGTCTCTCTTCAGAGAGAGATGTCTCCAGCTGCTTGATACCTTGTCTCTAGGCAGGGGGTGGGGACTGTCCCAGTGGAGCTCTGATTGTTTTCTCATGTCATTTCGTTCTGGCAGGTCGAGGACAGGTCTGTCGCTCTTCTTGAGTTTCTGCGCCTGCTGCTGTCTTGTACATGACTTACAGCAGTCATTCTGGAAAATACGTTACAGGACACTAAAACAGCCTTTTGTTCCACTTAGGCTTTGCGAGGATCTAAATTAAGGCATCGTGACTTGTAATACTATGATACTTTTACAATTACTTGAAAGTTGCCCAGATAATGCTTAAATTAGGGTCAGATATTAAATATTGTACATTACAAGCAGCCTTAGCAACTGGTTTTGTCTTTCTCTCTTAACTTAAGGAATGGTCAATATAATATAACAATGAAACCCTGAAGGCCATTGGTTTAAAATGCTGACTGCTGGAAGACAAAGAGTTTCTCCACATTACAAGACATACCTTATTTTTTATAGCTACTTGCATCCGAACTTGACCCGATTAAACAGTGTCTTTCATATATAGGTCTTTTTTTTGTTTATCAGTATTTAAAGGGTCAGTACATTTGATTTACCATAGTGTCTTTAATGTTTTTTTGTTAGCCGTGTGCTTTCTTACCAGTGCAGTGTTTTAACTACTGAATAAATTGTTACCACCAGATCTAAAGATACCACTCAGACTTGAGAAATGTTGGAATAAAATCTGATACCATGTTTATTGCAGTCCCTTCAGACTAAGACATTATGTTTCATTTCTGTTCAAGGGAGGAGACATTTTATTTTAAGAAGTTTATAGAGTGTGAGATATATGAGCTGTTTCGTGACAGACCTGGAAGCAAACATAGGGAAGAACTGCAATTCCATCTCAGTAGCAATTTAAGAATCTCGGCCATTTGCTTTTCTAAAGCTCCTTGTACTGTTCAAGTTATTTTTTTTTTACTAAAACATTAATTCCTTTGGAATAAATAATTTTCCAGCTATTTTACTACAACAATTAAAGACAGATATCCAGTGGAATACTTTGAAGGCATCCTTCTCTCTCAGACAATAGGCAATGTTCATTGTATTGAATACTGTAAACTATGTATTTTGTACAGAAACATGTCAAAAGTGTTCTTTTGTGCTAAAGAGTAAAAAGCAATATTATGGTGGATGGTTCCGATTTATTTTCACAACTTCGCATTACATCAGAAAGACCTCTAGGCTGTGCTGTCGGCTTACATTACAGATTCCATTTCTTAGGTGTGCATGTGACTCCTTACTGTAGGCTTGCTATGAGATCTGTTAGAGAAAGGGAAAACATTTCCTGAAGTGTGTTTGTAAGAAAGAGAGAACAGAAAAGAAACAGGAAAAAAAGGTGATAAAATCATTGCAAGCCTTCTGAATCCATCTAATAAACCGCATCCTTATTTTCTTAAGTGTGTACAAGACAGTGGTGATTTTTCACTTCTTTTTCCAGACCTGCAAGTGGAAAATGTACATGGAACTTGATGGGGATGACATTGCAATAGCCTACATAAAGGATGTTACTTTTAATGCTAACAGACCAGACGTAGATGTGACTAAGATGACCAAGGTAAATACATATTTTATAAAACATGAAATTAGATTTATTCAGAATACAATGCTCATAATTCAAGTAAACTGCTTTAGTACATAAAGATTTACAGGCAAAGAACTCATTGGGTTCTCATTTTACATGTAGAACATAGATGTTTATGCCAGGTAGCTATGTTGTTTTTAGGGCAAATAAATTTAAATGTAGAAGGACTTGTGAAAATGCCAATAAAAATGAACAGCTTTCAGGTTTTTTTTTTAATTTATATTCTGTCAAGATGCAATGGTCGCAGATATTTTAATTGTTGCCTTCCCGTTGAACGGCTCCAGCATTTAAGGCTGAGAATTAATTATTTTTTATCACATTCTATTCTATTTCAGCCTCCATTTGTAATGGACAAGTGGATCCTTGGAATAAGTGAGAACCAGGTTGTGGAATGTATTGTCAATTATGAGGTAAGCATTATTCATAACTTTAGAGATCTTTTTAGTGTTTCATACAGAGAAAAAAACATCAATTTCTGAGATCAGGAAAAGTCTTTTGAAGACAGGGGGTCATCACCCTTGCTGCCAAAATGTTCTCTTATGGCTACGTGTTTTCCCTAGAGCTCTGGGCCTACCCTGCTGACACTTAGCTCTTAATTCAGATTTTGAGGAAAATCACTACAACAACAGAAACATTTCTTGGAGCTCTGTTTCCATATCTGGCCAAAAAAAAATTCTTATTTACTGAAAAACTCTGTGAGCTGCCCTACCTATCCAGGACAGGTTTGGATGCATGCTTGTTGGGTTTTTAAATAATAATTCCAAAATAGGTTTAAAAGCAAAGGTTAGAATTGTACTTTGCAATTAAAAGCAGCACCTATACATTGACCCTGTACTTTAACAGATGACATGTAAAGAAATTAAATGATTACATTTTATAATAGAAATATTATGTACTAAAACAAGTGATTATTTTAATTAACCAATTACATATTGCTTTACTCTAAACAAGAATATGTAACTGGGAGAAAAAAACAGGCACATTTCATTTAACAGAAGCTGCACATTTCATTTAATTATTACACTGTGTAATAGTGTAAAAAAAAGATATTCTTACAATTGTGGTTTCAGAATGATTAAACACTTCCTGTTTACCGTTTGAAAGTACTCCATTTCCTACACGCTCATTTGCTTTTTGATATTTTTTTGTTTTAAAATGCACATGTTCTCCACTGGTTCAAGAGGGAACCTGTTGTACTCCTGAACGTTTTGACAAAATCCCAAAACCTGAACAAAAAGTGTGTTATTTCTCCTTGAATACACAAAAAGGCTTTAACTTCACAGTGTTGTCTCCTTCCTGATACTGTTTTGACAGAATGATGTCAGATCTCCGAAGACAACCAGGCACAACCATACAGTAGAGCTGAACCCCACAAGTAACCAAGATCACATCAAAACAGTAGAGCTGGTGATACAGACTGCTCCACCAAATGCTGAAGGAAAACCAAAAATAGGATCAAATCCTGGCAAGTTCTTTTACTACTATGAATATGTCTTTTTAAACAATAACTACATGTACCTATATTAAGGCAATTATAAATAATTAACCATTCTGAAAGCAAAGGATTATTCATGCTATACCAATCTGTGTGATCCAGAAAGCAGAGACAAAAATTAGTTTAGCTCAGAAAATGAATTCAGCTGGTTCTATCTTTTGATACCTTATATGTTTATAACTGTATGGATATGAATTATTTAATAGAGGGGCACAAGTATCCTAATTCTTAAGAGCCTAACTCTTCACATTATTAACACCACTCGGGGCAGTGCTGGGGCCCTGGGTTCAATTCGGGACCTGGGGTGCCATCTCTGGAGGAGTTTGTTCACCCTGTATTCACATGGGTTTCCAGCTTCCTCACACAGTCCACAGACATACTGACAGGTTAACTGGCTTCTGAGAAAACTGGCCCTGGTATGAGTGTATTCATGTCTGTGTGTCCTGCCTGGTGCCTGTCGCCTGCCGGGACAGGCTCTGGAACCTCGCAATCCTGAATTGGATAAAGTGGTTAGAAAATGGATGAATGCATTAACACCACTCCTCCCACCAACGAGCAGGGAAAAGTATGTTGATTTGCTTGGTCGACAATGACTTGAGGAGCGGCGATTTCAAAGACAGGCCATAAATGACCTTCTTGGTTCGGTTTTTCTTCCAATATGTAGAAAATCACAAGTATCATTAAATAAAAATGGATGGATGAACCTACAAAAAAATATCAAATGGAACCTGCAAATATCAAATTGAACACATGTGTAACTCCTTACCTGTACATTGCATGTGTTCACCACAATTGCTTTTAGGTTCCTGATGGCATTTTAGAGGTTGATTCTTGTGTGAAATACATTCTGATATTCAAAAAAAAATAACTGTAACATGAAAGCTCACTAAAGTTAGGACGTGTTCCTGTTGGAAATGTGGAACATCTCCACACCTCTGAAGTGCTTCACTTGTGGAAGGGAGCCGGCGGTTGAGGCTTTAATTTAACGCATTTTGTCTCCCCCTTCTTCAAGATGCGGATCCCCATTGGATGTATTCTCTGAGGATCCAACAGCTGCGGAGGAACGCGACAGAGCCCCACCACGCGGCTCTTTCTCCCGCCAGCGGGGCCAGCGTCAAGAGTTTACCTCAGTTCCTGACCTTCTGCGCACCGCAGGGCTCGTACGCAGCAGCGGTACGGAAGTCCCCCAGCACTCTTGCCCCCTTGGTTGACTCCCGCAGCTCGTCCCCCACGGCCGGGCTCACGAGGAAACTCTCCTCAGTCCACATGGGCTCCAAGGGCAGCAGTCCCTCCAGCACGGCTTCCGAAAGCACCTCGGAGAGGGACAGGCCCTTCGGGGGGAAGACTGCAGCCCGTCCCCACAGAAACCACTTCCCCGAGCAGGCCTTCAGGGGGACGAGAGGCCACTGGAGAGACTCGTTCTCGCCTCCAGGAGCGAAGCCAAGCCGGCATCACCAGGCGGGAAGGCCCAAACCACAGAGCTACGCCACGGCAACGCAGCACCCTCCCCGGGGCATTCCTGGCTTGCAGCCGGCGGAGGGCGACAGCAGGGGCTCGGAGGAGGCCAGGGCCGGCGAGGCAGGCTGGATCAAAGTGGAGCGGCAGAAAAAGCCACACAGGCAGGACGCGAAGCCGCTGAAAGGCAGGCCCAGAAGAGGAGGCCGGGGGAGCGGGCGAAGCTGAGGCCGCGCGCCACTTGAGAAACTGAACCTCTCTGCCATTGTTTACACACTCGAGCCCCTCTCCAGCGGGGCTGTCGCGCGGCATGGCTCCTTCGCGGGCACAAACGCGAACGCAGGCCGTAGTGTACGGCGCATCTTTTTGACAATACAATGAACTTCCCACACCTCAGAAAGCGGGCTGTGACTTTCTGTGACGTGCTGTTAACATGCACTGGGCAATGTGAAAAATGTTAAGTCAAACTAAACCAGGCAATTATGCTATCAAGCGCACTACAGAAAGAAAAATCTTGTTTTCAGCAGAACTATTTTAAAAGGTTATCGCAAACCTATTATTAATAACCGAATTAATTTCTAATATGTAATAATATGAATGTCTTAGCACAAATCCTCAGAACCAGATTCAGGACCTGGGGCACTTTTTTTTAAGAACTGTCCGGTTTCATGTTTTCTACCTCGGATGTGCGTGGTTATCCATACATTAGATGGGGTATACATACTGTATACTTCACGTCGCAAATCATTAGCTTTATAAACTGTGATGTGGTCATGAGATTAAAACGATTCGTAGGGGCAAGAATAAAGATAGCATGGCTGTCAAATTTGATGATTTAGAGAGAATTCGTTACTACTGTTAATTGTACAGTCAGTATGGTTGATTGCTAAAAATGATTTTATAATTAGTCAATGCAGTTATTAATATCGATTTGATATAATACTAGTAAGATTTTTATTTTTAATAGCATATTTTTTTAAAAGAAGTTTTATTTGTAATAGCATAAAACATAGTATGTTTAAACGGATTTTGACATGTAAAATGTTTAGCGGAAAACAACATGATAACACGCAAGATACTCCCGAGTGCTGTTTCTATTTTTAATGACGGTAGAATATTAATACAGTACGTTTTTCACCTAACGTTGTTTTGCTTTTCCGTGATGTTCAGATTCGTAAACTTATTTGGTAAAACGTGTCTCCTGCGCTTTTCAAAACATAGCATTTTTTGTATCTTAATTCAAGATAAAGATATTGTATTGTGTACAATATCTGTACAATATGCTGTAAAGCTGTATCGCATTTGACCATTTACAAAACGCACAAACTACCATTAAAATATTTAATGTACATTGAAGAACATGTACATCATTTGTTGTTTTTGTATGTAGTACGTTTTAGTTACAAACCCATGGTAGCTCCATCATACAGTCTACTCTGAATGCGAATCGTGAATTTTTTAAACACGAGTATAAAAGGGCTAATCGTAGGAGCCCAAGGGAAACTCGACGGGTATTACAGTTAAAAACATCTTGAAACCGCATCGCACCTGGCAGTAAGCTATTTATCTGTAAACACTTCTTTGAAAGAGGATCTTTGTCATTCATAACAAGGACTGCACCACATACAGTATCACTCCTACATATGGAGTGCATAAACAATCCATGAGCAATATTTATATAACCTCTTGTACGAACTAAGCAGCCAAAACATTAATACTGTAACTGTGATCCCCGCCGTTTTAGCCATACATACTTCTTTCTTCATATTACAGTACCTACAGTAGCTGGGTGTGTGAGAGTAAGCGCACGTTTTTTTTTTTGTTGCGGTGACCCGCATGCCTCCCATGCAAATGAGCTACACGTTTTCAGCCAGAACCCCTTGGCGCCATCACGCAGGACCTGGCTTTCTGTAAAAAAAAAGTGGCCCCCAAAAAAGTTCAAACCGGAAAAAAAAAGGGAACCAAAACCCCCTTTTCTCCGTCCGACCCAATTTTGCCACGGTCTCTGGCGCACAAACGGAGCTTTACCGAGGTATGTCAAACCGAGTGGCCTGAAGTAAAGTTCAGCTCTGCTTATCTGTCAGGACCTGAAGCAGACGCGGGAAATCGAAGCGTGAATCCGTCCCTCTGAGTGGGGCTGGGGGGGGGAGTCCTGCAGACTTTGCCGTGTAGCTGTTTGCAGCAGAGGCACTAAGGGAGCAGACGGTCATTAATCAGAATTTTCCATCAACCCCACTTTTAAAAGTGCAAACATGCGTCCTACTCGTAGAAAGGTAAGAGCGCAGTTTCCCCGTTTTTTTTTGCCTGTTGCTCTCAAGATGTACAACTTTTTCCGAAAGTTAGTCGTTGGAGCAATACAAGTTTTTTTTTTCTTCCAAATCTGGCGTGGTTTAGTAATGGTTTACAGGGGACGGCTTTGTGTGGCTGGATTCTCTGATCAGCACTGGTTTCGTACCCTGTATTTTCCTTCATAGTGTTAAAAAAGAACTTTCTCCTGTTTTTCCAACGAGTTTATCATGTAATGGTCTCTTTTTTCCCCCCCAACTTTTCGTTAATTTGTGACTGCAAACGTGCTGTGAAGGTCTTGATTTGAAGAACCTTGCCGGCGTGCAATCGCCCACTTTTGGGATTTAAATGCTCGGCCACGTCTGAACCGCTCCCGACTGTCGCTCGGTCTTCCTGTGCACCCGAAGCCGACATTAGGAGCGGTACGGTGTTAAATGAGTACTTTCATGTTTCACTGCTAGATAGGTGAGGGCGGTGACTAAATGGAGGCGCGAATTTACGCTGAGGGCGAGGACGGGGTTGGTTTGTAGCCAGAGGCTTTTTAACAGTGCCCATTATTGTGCCCCAGCGGTGTTCCGGCTTCCCAAACCAATTTTTTAAATGACCCTGATTAGCGAGGTTTTGAAATCGACGCCAGTGAAAATGAGGAGGTCCGGTTGACGTCTTCGGGCGTCCTCGTGCTCACAATTGATAGTTTCCGAGAACTTTGATTTTTTTTTTTTAAATATACTGGTCAACGAGCAGGTAATATTCTACCGGATGCGGGTTTTGTAGAAATAAATATAATCGAGCGGCTGGAAACTTATCTAAAAGAATGGGATGGAGAAATGCCCTGTATTTTTTGTAGCAGTGTGCAGGACAATTGTCAGGCCTTGAGCCAAGGTTAGTCACGCAAATCTCGGTGTGTGATCAGAGATCTCTCTGCAAGCGAGGACGAGAAGGCGAGTTTGCCTGAACTTGGCAAGAGATCTCATTTATCGGAAGTAGTTGTATAGCCTATTAAGCTGTACAGCACTGCCGTTCAGTTTCTGGGACACTGTAAGCTATCAGGGTTCAGCGATAAAGAAACGGTTTCATCTTTTGTAATGTATCAAGAGAAAAGAATCGGGTATATTAAAACGCATGCCGTTTTAGGGTGTTGGCGCAATCTGCGTACCCCCAAAGTATTAGTGAAAATCTGACTGGTTAACAAACCCAATGACATTTCCGTATTCATGGGTTTTATTGTGATCTAACCCGAACTGTGCTTCAAAAGAGTTTCCTCGTAAATCTGCCATATGAACAGGCTTTGAGGGGGGATTTAGAGGTCGCCTGTGGCGAGAGAAGTATTTTTGGTATATGTCAAATTTGAGCCATACCAAAGACAAACATGAATCTAGTGTGGTTGTATTTACATCATTTTGGAGCTCCGTTTAAATCAGTTTGAAGCTTTTGATCTACGCACTTCAGATTTGAATCCTTTCATTCAATCCATCATTTCCCCTTACCTAGAATTTGCAGCCTTCGATCAGGATGAATCTAAGAAGCTTCCGAAACACACCCTTGGTACCGATGGAAACCTCCTCCTCTTCAGATGACAGCTGTGACAGTTTCGGTTCTGATAATTTTGCAAACACAGTGAGTAGAAATCCCAAACCGCTTGAGATGAACACTCCCAGATTGTGAAGTGACAGCTGTCTGTTTTCATCCAGTTCCAGCTTTCAAAGTTACTTACAGACTAATCCTATTGTGAAATGTTGGCATGGTGAAATATTTAAAAATTTATATGGCACTAGTATTAAAACAAGACACTTATGTTTATAGTGTTCATAATGCAACTTGAGCACTAGAAATTTACAACCATACAAGAATGTTCATGTATGCTTTTTCCATCCGCAGAAGAAAAGTTTGAAACCTGGCAGTGTCCCAGTGAAGGTGTCTAAAATTCTTAACACGGACTCAGATGAGGAGTCTTTCCGTGGATTTGAAGAGACTGAATTCAGTGATGTTATGGGCGCTATGGTGAGTCCTGTACTGTCGGGGAAAGTAGAGAGGAAACGATTGAAGATGTTAAACTGTGTTCTCCTGTGCTTTTCTTTTTCTGCAAATGAAATTGACACTATTGGCTTGAGTATGGTATGCCGCCTTAAATAGGACAATCATTGTTTCCCCAGACAAACTGGGGCTGTGAAGCTGGAAGTATCATCTGTTGTAAGGTGAACTATTCCAAAGACAGCTAATGTACTTACTGTATTTCATTATGTAAGACTGTGACAGAAGAGGTGACATTTAGCCTTTTTAAATTTCATATAAAAAAGCATTTTAAAAGGGTGCTTGTAAATGGCAAATCTGAGTAATAGAATGCCATTAATAAAAGGTTAACCTGAGCCCGACTGTTTTGTTTAATAAAGGCTGTTGCCTTTGAGTACTTCACTTTAAAGGCATTTTCCAGGCACACTGCATTACTACAAATATCTTTGACTTTTCAGTTAGATGGGCCTTTTAAATTCTGAGCTTTTGTCTTGAATGTCAAAAGATTTTTTTTTTTCCCGGAGCATGTTTATATACATAATTTTTTAAAGATGGAAAGTTAAATTGTTTTTAGCAGTGTACAAGCTTGCTCTAACATTTGGATCTTCAAGGAAAGTTCTTTCATTTCAATCTCATCTTAGATGCATAGTAATTAAGCTCTGATCCTGCATAAAAGCTTCTGCTTTTCTTCACCAGTTTTTAATAAAAGTGATGTATCCTTGTTTCGCTTTGCTTTTCCTTGTAGCTATATCTTGACATAAGTTGTGGTTGTGCTGGTAAAGGTTTTCAGAGAAGTGCTAGTAAAGTTAATTCATTATGTGCTTCTCAAGTCTGATCTCCTGCGTTGCTAATTTCAGAAAGTGGACTCTGAAGAAGAACCCTCAGCACAGTCAAAGAGGCGGAGAGGATCAAAACCTCTGAAAGTGGCCATGAAATTTCCCACAAGGAATTTACGAAAGAATGGACCTGCAAAACCCATCCCTCCACAACGAGAGGATTCTCTTTCCGACTCCGACTCGGATGAGGAGAAAGGCCCGAATTTAATGGAAAAGAGAGCGATCAATATCAAGGAGAACAAAGCTATGGTAGGTTGATTTCCCCCAGAAAGAAAACAGTGGTTCTGCACCTTTTGCATTCATTGTCTGCGTTTTACTGAAATTGTTTTGTCTCATTTGCCCACAGCTTGCGAAGTTAATGTCTGAGCTGAAGACGGTGTCGGGCATTTTCCCCAAGAGGATGTTGCTGCCTTCAGCAAACTCCGTAAGTGCAGAGTTGCTCTTTTAAAATGTTTTGAAACAGCTGGTGCAAGAGTTGGAATGCCGCTGTGGGAGATCAGCTTTACCTACACAAATATTCCTTAAAAGCTGTTAAGCAGAAATTCATTAAATGAAAATACATTTCCCAATTACAATTAGTAATTATGTGACTTAATATAATACATGTATATGCATAATAGTAAAGGAAGGTAAGCATGGAGTATATTATTAGTAAAATAAGTATTACAGTAGTCCTGATTGAAATAAATGCCAAATGTGAAAAATAAAGCATTATGCTCTTATTCAACATAGTGGGCAAGTGGGTGGTGATTCACTTGCTTGTAGAAGCTAGTGCTGAGGTTTGGGGACAGATGACTAAAGTTACGATTGAGGTTTTTTTTTTGTATTTTGTGACTTTTATCCAGTGTAATATTCTGACAAGCCTGTAGTCTGTACCAAGCAGCACAGCACAAAGAAGGCGACTGGCTTTTGTTGTATAGAAATTTCACTAGGATCCAAAGAGTGCCTATTGATTTGTCCGATGCACCGGTGCAAACGTCTGTAAACATTCTGTAATGAATACTGTAATTCAGAGTCTTATCGCAGCCATAGTCCCAAGCTCATTACTTGAGAATCTAGCTCGCATTCAGGCGCAGGGGATTTAGTTCTAGCTCGAAGCTGTGAAGAGCCATTTTTGTCCCGTCTTTCCCCAGCCCAGACGGCTGTCCCGCCGACTGGTCCCCAAGTCCTTCCCCGAGCGCAGGTCTCCACCACACACCCGCTCGCGCTCCCTGGTCGACGGCCCACCCAGCCCCGCTCCGGAGGACGACCTGGAGGATAAGTACTACCTGGCCCGCAGGAGGAGGGCGGAGGATGACGATGAGGAGGTGAGAGAGCACATCTCCGTGCTGTAAAGTGGGCTTTGCTCTGCGCCTGCTTTGGCCCAACAGTGAGGGAGTTTCATGTGAAAACAAAATTCTCGCATTTCATACAGGCACATAATCAGAGAGCCTTAATAAGATCTGAGTGTTCAATTAATGCTTTTACAGGAAGGCTGTATATGATGGGCCACATGGCTTTTCTGTCCCCTCACATCCATGCGAATAGTTGGTTTCTAGCCTGGTATTTTAATCTTAAACTTGAGTGACTCCTGCCTATTCTGTACCTCTTGGTTGTGTCTTGTTGGAATTAAGTTACTTCTCTGTCCTGCAGAGGGCGCCTCGTCGTAGAAGCTACAGTGGGGCCATGACAATTCCCCACCATGTGCGGCCTGTAGAGGAAATCACAGACAGCGAGCTGAACAACATCTGTTATAATGTCCGTGAAAAAGTGTATAACAGGGTTTCGGTAAGTGTCGTTTTGAGCCTGTTCTTTAAATACCGTGAGAATACAGTGCTGTGAAAAAGCGTTTGCCCCCTTCCTGATTTCTTTTTTTTTTGCATGTTTGTCACACTGAAATGTTTCAGATCATCAAACAAATTTAAATATTAGACAAAGATCACACAAGTAAACGCAAAATGCAGTTTTTGAATGAAGGTTTTTATTAAGGGGGAAA